AGCCTGCACCCAGGCCCCAAGAAGCAAGGGCGTGCATGTCTCCAAATGGCTGTGACAGGTGATAGGGCTTTGGTTTTAGGTGACATTTATCTAAATAAAATCTTTCCAATCTGTCTTGAAACATCTATAGTAAGGGTCCCCAGCAACCCAGTGGGGGCTTCTGGTGTCCCACCTTTCTCTACCACTCCCCTCCTCCTGTCTCCAGCCCCCCAAGACGCCGCATCCGCGTGTGCATGAACGGGGCCCCTCGTCTGGGCAGGGCTTGGTGCATCCTCTTCTCTATCTGTCATCTAACAGTTGTCTTGAGGTTCGATTCATGTCTCACACAAGTCATTGTATAAATGTGAGTTTGGTAGCTTTGACTACATTCACAGGACTGTTTACCTCTCACCCCAGGAACTCATGCACTTGGCCATCATCCCAAATAGAAATCCTGCACCACTGCACCACCGTCCTCGATTCTGCCGTCCCCTATCCCGAGCCAGTGTATCCGTCTGTTCTGAGCACTCTGCGTAGACACAGTCACACAGCGGCGTCTCTCGCGTCTCGCTCCGTCCACATCAGTCAGCGCATCGCTCCTCCCTACTGAGAAACAGCGCTCCATCCGATGGGCTCACACATGTCACTGATCCACCTGTCAGCTGATGGGCACGTGGGCTCTTTTCACTTTTTTGGTTATTATTATGAATGATGTTGTGTGAAGAATTTTATACAGCACTACAGCACTTTATGTGACAAATACTGTCACTGCTCCTGAGCCTGTGTCTAGGAATAGGGCTGCTAGACAATGGGAAAGCTCTGTGTTTACCTACTTGAAGAGCTGCCACAGTTTTCCAAAGTGGAGGCTCCATTTTGCTTTCTCACTAGCACCATAATTTCTCTAGATCCTTGCCAGTCTTACTTTTTTTAATGGGATAGCAATCCCAGTGGGCATATGGACATCATCACACTTTCTTAACTTTTTTCCCCATTTTATTTTTATGTATTTGGTAGAGGGTCTCACTATGCAAGTGATCCTCCTGTTTTCAGCCTCCCCAGTGCTGGGATTACAAGCATGCACCACCACGCCCAGACTTGGTGCCTGGCTCAGCGCGCCCTGGGGGAGGCAGGCTGGACTGGGGATCGAACCCTAGTCCCCGCACTTGCCAAAGCAGGCACTTAGTCCACTGAGCTATCTGGCTAGCCCACATTCTTAACTTTTCAACAGAGTAGATCACTCACTTTTAAAGCTGCAGACAGAAGACCACCTCCACCAAGAAGCAGGCTTTCACCTCCCCACTCCCTGGCTGACCAGTGCTCCTCTCAGAAATCCTGTCTCTCCTCTCCAAACGTCAAGTTTAACCTAAGCAGGGACCATTCCACCATTCTTTGATTCCCCATTCCATCCCCCACTATCCACTCATTGTATGAACTATAAAGTTATTCATTCAAGAACTAATATCTAGAGTATTCAAGAAATCAAACCACCCAGATTTAAAGATCCACTCCAACAGTGGGCATCTGAAATGAACAGACACTTCTCAGATGAAGAGTATGAATAGCAGACGCAAATATGAGAAAAGGGCAGCGCTGGCCATTCACAAAATGAAACTTAGAGCGATATGGAGATTTTTACCTCACCCCGGAAAGAATGAGTATTATCAAGAAACCAACTAATAGTACGCTTTGGTCAGGCCATGGTGAAGAGAACCCTTTTCCTTTGTTGGTGGGAGTGTAAATTGGTTCAATCACTGTGGAAGTGGAGATTCTTCACACAACAAAACTAGAGCTCCATTTGATCTAGCCATTCATCTTGTAGGCATTTTCCCAGAAAAGTTAAAAGCATTGTGCCGCAGTCACACATGTACACCATGTTTACAGCACCACATCTCATAAGAGCTACGTCTGGGAAGCTGCTCTGTGCCATCAACGGATGAATGGGTAAAGAAAAAGTGGCATTTGTATACAACGGAGTACTACTCGGCCATAAAGAATAAGCTCGAGGCACTTTTAGCTAAATGGATCCAGTTCAAGACCATAATTTTAAGTGGAATAAATCAGACACACGAGTTTAAATATCAAATTTTTTTCTCCTGTGTGAGAAAGTCAAAGGGTAGATAAGAAGCAGAATGGATGACAGATACTGGAAGCAGGAAGAACTCGTTCAAATGAGAAGGGGAATGGGGATGGCTTGCAAAAAGGGGGCCTAAAAAGAAAATGGAAGGAGAAATGGAAACAGAGCTTTTGTAAATGACGAGGAGAAGAAGGGCTGAAAAGAGGAAAGGGGACAGGGAAAAAGGAGACAAGAGACATCTTACGTACAGGTACAAACGTCTCATGGTGGATGTGATCGATACGTATGACAAACATATACAAATAAAAATACAAAATGTTTTAAATGTGAAAAAGTGTGTTAAATGACAAATACAAATAACAAAAAGTATGCGCTGGGGCTGGGGAGCTCACTAGGCGATCTAAGTGCCTGCCTGGCCGGGGGCTCGAGCGTGGTACCGCGTGCCTAGCCGGCTCCACACCGAGCAGGCCACTGAAACTGGGTGCACGCCGATAATCCCAGTACCAGGGAGACTGAGATGGGAGGATCACTACGATTCCGAGCTGTGTAGCGAGACCCTGCGCCAAATACATAAATAAATACATGCTTATATACATAAATGATTTTTTATTTTTTTAAAAAAGGAAAGAAAAAGCAAGCATTGTCTGAAAATCACCAGTTTCAGAGTTGATATGATTAACATATTTGTCCACTTCCTGGTCACGGAGGCCCAGTACCCAAGCTCACAACTTAGAGAAGAGGCTTCATTTGTGGGTGGTTTTCATACAGAATCCCCTGGCTCCGAGGCAGAGAAATCAGGGCGAAGGGCAGGGCATAGCAGCACTGCCTCGGCCACTGTGGCCAGGAACCAGGGACCAGGCTGGAACAGGCTCAGAGCGGAAGGGGGGAGGCAGAGGAGACCTCGCATGGCGGGCCATTTTTCAAACTATTAATGAATATTTTAATATCTGTGACAAGAAACAAGCTATTGGTTTTATGCATGATGTATTTTTCTGCATTCCTGGATTATATTGTAGCTGTACACCTTTTTGTTTTTTAAGGAAAATCTCTTTGTATAAACAGCTTGTTCTTTTTTTGTTTTCGGGACCAGGGATCGAACTCAGGTCCTTGCACTTGCCAAGCAGGCACTTAGACTGCCGAGCTACCTCCCCAGCCCAAACATCTAGTTCTTAAGTGGCAAATTTAAAGATACTTTAAAGAAATAAATGACTTAGGGAAAACAGAGCCTCCTGCCTAGCTGTCCCCTAAACTCCGCTCCTAGAGCTACAGAGGGTCTGGGTGTTGCCCGGATATGGCCCTGGGCCTTTGCTTTGGAAAAACATTGATTCTAGTCTACATTTTCACTGATTAACATGAACAGGTTAATGGAGACATTTAAAAATCAGTCCCTGAAATCAGATGCAGATTTAAACACCTGGCCCAACGTGCCTTAGGACAAACAATTCAATCTTGCTGGGCCTTTGGCTTCTAACCTGTAAATGAGGGAGGGGACCATGAAAAGAGAACTTTGTCGTGGAACATCAAATTAAATAATGGATTCAAACCCAACATCTGGGACAACAGGACTGCTCCCACGTGTTAGCTGTATCGCTACCTGGCTACTTTATCACTGCTCCCTACGTTGGAAACAACCTCACCACAAATCTGTTAAAGGGAATACATTTTGCTCTGTAAAAAATGTACTTGCTAAGCATAATTTGGGGATTTTTTTTAGGTTCGTACATGACTCTGTCATCACTGTTGCTTACTTTTATGTATAGTTTCCAAGTGATACTTTATTGGCATACATAAGCCACGTCCGTGTCCCTGATAGGAATTTCTGAAGGTTTTTGGCTGCTATGCTAAGTGACAGCTACCGCTGGTTCTTGTGCAGGGCCCGAGCTCTACGATGTCTTCCTTCAGGGTCGTCCACTGAGCAGGAAGTCACTTTCAGGCATCAAACTTGCTTCTGCCAGGGGACACGTTAAGCTGGGCACTACCCGACGGAACTCACTCCAAGGCAAAAGTTCTCAAAGTGCAGTTGGATATCTGTTCTCTGACAGAGTCAAGAATGTTCTTTTCTTTATCCAAATACTGAGTGCATGACCAAAGTTAGGAAGAACAGCAAGACTGCCACTGCTGTAGAGATGGTGGTCACCAACAAGGGGCAGCAGAGACAGAAAAGTATTCACAAGTGTGACCAACCGAGGCAGTGGAACTGGTAATGAACGCTGCAAGTGATGTTAAACAGCAGTGTGTTTAAAAAAAAAAAAAAAAAAAAAAAAAAAAAAAAAAAACACCTAAAGGCAAGGGCTACTTCCAATCAGGGCCTGAAGAGGCCCCCCGAGGAGGGCCCAGCTGCCATCAGAATGCCAAAAGGCAGTTTGGGGCTGTCAAGGGGCAGAGTGATTTAAGGAAAGTGGACAGTCAGTGATGACACCCTCGGGCGCAGCCATGCTTGGCACAAACAAGAAGTAGAAGAGGCCAAGGTGGGGAATGCAAGCCACACAACAGGGGAAGAGCCCAGAGACCCAGCCGGGTACAGGGTGCAAAGCAAGACAAAGCGGGGGGATGGGGAGGTGCAATCAGCTGCTTCCTGGATGTCTAGGTCTACACACCCCGAGGTCTAGGTCTACACAACCTGATGTCTAGGTCTGTGCACCCCAGTGTCTAGGTCTACACACCACGATGTATAGGTCTACGCACCCCGAGGTCTAGGTCTACACACCCTGAGGTCTAGGTCTACACACCCCGAGGTCTAGGTCTACACACCCCGAGGTCTAGGTCTACACACCCCAAGGTCTAGGTCTATGCACCCCGCACCGAGCTCTATAAGTTCCTTAGTCAGTGTCTTCTGCCCACCTACCATAAAACCCGGAGTCACACCTCGCTTTGCTTAGGAGAGAGAGCAGGACCTCTAGTTTCCTCTTCAAGGCATTCACGTGTCTTCTTCAACCCGGCGGTGTAGGTTGCACCAGGTGACGTTCGAGGCACCCACCTGCGAGGGGAAGGGACGGCAGAAGCTGGCGCTGACCGGCGACTCCTCATCCTCGGCGGAGTTCTTCGTCACGGTGGCCGTCTTTGCCTTCCTCTACTCTCTGGCTGCCACGGTCGTTTACATTTTCTTCCAGAACAAGTACCGCGAGAACAACCGGGGCCCTCTGATCGTAAGTTTGAAAGAATTTTCTCTGCCTTTCTCATTTCTTTTGCTAATGCTCGGAGGGCTTGGAAAGGGATTCATAATCCTTTTCATCCCAACGTCTCGCATCCACAAGAGAACACCGTCCTGTCAGGTGTCTCGCGCTCACCTGGGGAAGGTATCGGAAGGTCTCCTGCCGGAAACCCTCCGAGGTGGAAGGCTGGGACGCCCGCGGGAGCGAGAAGGAGCTGTGAGGCTGGCTCACAACACGAGCGCTGGCGAGGCGGCCGCTTTGCTCGCTGGTTGCTCGGACAGTGGGATTTGGGCTGGCTTGAGGTGTGTTGTTCCCTCAGTATTTGATAGCCTGAGCCCAAAACTACTGGTTTGAAAATGGAGTATCCACCTCTTGTGCACTCCTGCACACCCTGGCTCACCCCCCACCCCCGCTGTCAGCTGTCCCAGAGCCACTTCCTGATGCCTTCCGCAATGGTGCAGGGACTCATGCGGATGGAATCAACACAGGACAGGGTGTGCCAGCACAGCACACACATGCCCAGAAGGACACACAGACCCTCAGAGGGGTGCTTGGGCAGGGACAATTTTAAGAAAACATATTTTAAATTATGCCTTGCCTTTGAAAATATCTTGCTCTCTCTTTTCTTAATCACTATGTTAATCAGCTTTCTGTCACTATGACAAAATCCCTGAGCTAATTAACTCATGAAGAGAAAAGGTTTATTCTGGTGCATTGTTGCCAGGTCCCAGCCAGTAACTGAATGGAGGCACTGGTTCCAGCAATAGCAGAGGAATGTGGCACAGCCAACACCTCATCTCAGAGCCAGAGAGAGAAAGGAGCAAGGAAAAGAGCTGGGGGGACATGCTGACCCCTCTCCTCACAGCCAGAGAGAGAAAGGAGCAAGGAAAAGAGCCGAGGTGACACCACTGCCTTTGCAGGCTGCCCACATGACCTCAGTGCCTGAGGGCCGCCCACGAGGTTCCACATCCCACTGATGTGACCCTGAGGACTGAGCCTTTAGCGGTGGACCTCAGGGGAGACACTCACCACATGTGACGGTCCTCTGCCTCATTTAATCAAGAAAATCCTCTTTCCCTGCTATCCCAGAGCTTGCCACACTGAACAGATGCTGACCACAGACATCTGAGGCACCAGAAAACAACTTGGAACACAGTCCAAGCCCGGGCCATGCACCCTTTGGGATTTAATGAAATTTCCCATGGTGTTTTTTTCTTTCAATGAAATTAAGTCATCACCTGCTCTTCAGCTGACACAGCATTCTGGACAGGCGAGATGGCTCAGCGGACTAAGCACCTGCTTAGGCAAATGCAGGGACCAGGCTTCAAGACCCCATCCCGCATACCATGACGGCCCCACCCCCAGGTGCACGGAGCTTGCCATAGAGTCCGGGCTTGGTACGCACGCCTGTAATCTCAGCACTGAGAGGCTGAAAACAGGAGGATCACTACAAGTCTGAGCTGCGCAGGGAGACCCTGTGCCAAATACACACGCACAAAAAAAAAGTCAACTTTCTGGTTACGTTACTATGTGATCTGAGACATAAAGGTCAGAAAGCAATACAAAAAAAAAAGACAATGCTGCAAGCAAGCTCTGCCGAGTCCCACATTCACACACGTGAGTTTTCCCAGCACATAAATCTGTAACATCAAAAGGTGGAAATAAAATCAGGGTTGAATCCCATCCCGTTCTAGAGACAAATAATCTGTATCCCAAAATGCTTATAGACCAACCGAAGAAGAACCTAGCTCACCCAAGAAACAAATGTCAATACAATTTTACAGCTTAAATGTATTACTTATTAAATTTATACTATATTTTTGTCATTTTGGGATGATTGCACATTTAATAATATTTTCAATGATTACCCAAACCAAAAGGAAATTGTTGTACTTAAATCTTTATATTTAGGGGCCCAGCCCTAGCTCAGTTCTTTAAGTGGCTGCTTCCACAATGCTGGCAGCCTCAGTTTGCTGTAGTTCGATCCCCACAACCCTCCAGCCATGCCAAAGTGCCCTGAAGGCATTCAAGGAGCAAAAAAAAAAAATCTTTATATTTAAATTTGTTCTGTTTTTCTTGCAAAGAAGTATAACAGGAAGGTCGGCCAAATAGCTCAATGAATTACAGCACCTGCAAGCAGGTGCAGGGGCTGGGGGTTGGATCCCTGGGCCTGCCCGTGCTGCACCCCGCCCCCCACCCCCCCACCCCCCCACCTTCCCATCCCCAGGAGGTGAACAGCATGCTGGGAAATGAGCTGGGGTGGGCGGGGGAGGGGCATGGCTGCAGAGAGGCCCCCAGAACAGGGCACGGAATGAAAACAGATTGGATCCTAGGCTCCTGGAAGGCCTTAGAGGCATTGGAGTGAGGGCTGAGTGCAGAGCTCGACGGTGGAGTGTGCGCTTCCCATGCACAAAGCCCTGGGCTCAATCCTGAGCAGCACCAGAGTACTGGGATTAAGAAGGCCAGGACAGGAGCCGGGGAGATGGCTCAGTAGAATAAGCGCTTCCCTGGCAGGACCATGCTGGTGTTGGTGCAGTCGCTGCTAGGTATTTAACATCTCCCACAGAGCGTATGCTTAGCAGCGGTAGCTGTGACTCCGTTATTTACCCAATAAACCCTTTAGATGCAAGAGACACACACTGTCAATTTCTTAAGTTCCTGCCTTTAAAATACTCAAAGCAGGACACTCAAACCAGGGTTGGGAATATAGCTCAGTGGCACACTGCCTGGCAAGCGTGAAGTCCTAAGTTTGACTCCCCATACAAATAAATAA